ATCTAATAATTATGATGACATTTTTAAGTATTGTAATATACAGACCACAAGCCTTTATTGATATTTCTTTTTATTAAATTTGCTCGGACATAAATACATTGTTCAACCCTGTGAGCGGCCAAACGTTTCGCTAAGAAAGCACAAATTTCCCCAAACCGCTATAAGAACAAGTTATTTCTTTGATTTTAATGTAAAAACTGTCCTGGTATTTCTTACTTGGATTTGGGTACTTTTGACATATTGCCTTAATTTCTTTGACTTATTTTAATATTCACGTATATATACGTTCTTACAGATATCACAAAAAATAATCTAGGCCGTATATATGCGGCCTTGCCGCTTAGAGGGTTTCAACCCGCGAGCGCGCACTAGGTCCAAAGGACCCACGGGATTAAACAAACCTTTCTCAAAGCGCGGATATTATAAGTAAGTTGTTGAGGTCCAGTGCACTCGTGTCTTAGGTCGACCTCTTTATGTTTCCGAAGTTTTTTCGTTGGGACTTTATTTGAAGTCCTGATTTTGATGCGATCGGGTCTTTTAGACCCAGCGCGCATATTCGTGTTACTATTTTATAGTTGATTTGTGATAGTATAGAAAACGGCAAAAATGTTACGGTATTTGTTATACATCGAAGAAATGTTGCAAAAGTTATCAGAGTTATCAAATCAACTGGCGAAGAATGCATTGAAGAAAATGAGGATGGAAGTGATCATGAGTTTTTAATTTACATGATTCTGATTTAGACAGTGATATAGCTTCTGTAAACGAATGTGAGAAAGACATAAATTTTTTGGAGGGAAAAATTGTCGGAAGCAAAAAAAAAAAAAAAAAAAGAAAGCGCGTTTCGCCGAATATGAAAAATATTTGTATTTGGAACACACAAAACACTTTCTTCAATGTGTACTATTTTTTCCTGTGCTAATAAATAATAAGATTTTCTATTCCTTTAAGAAATTTTGCTTCATAAAAGCATTTGGAGAAATAAAAAATTTTAACTTGCATATTTTTTAAAATTTTACCATAAAATTTATTATTGACATAAATGTCACTTTTTTTCTGAATATTCACAACATTTTCTTCAAAAAACAAGAACTGGTTCTTTTGGACCCAGTGCGCGCGCTCGTGTAATTCATACGAGCGCGCGCACTCGCAAGTTAATATTTCAATAGTTTTTTTTTAATACATTGTAAGGTACCTACCTAAAATTTACACCTAAGTGTGCAGAACTTTTAGAAATGGTAAGCGAATAATCGCTTTAGTTCAGGAAACAGACACGTAAACTGGAGAAGGGCTAATAACTCTTTATTGCTCAAAATAAAGTTTTACGCCCTTACTCAGGACGTACATAAAAGCCTCCACTTGCGCTTGAACTCAAGAATACTAAAGATTAAAACTTAACTAATGTTTAACTAAAAATATATATAGGAAGGTGTCAAAATTCTCCAGGAGTTGACCCCCTTACCCCCTTAAACGCTAACGGAATGGCAAAGTTATCAAGGGCCTGAAATAGAGCCGAGAGTAGTGATAGCTTAGAGAGAGTGTAGCCAAAAGGCAGACGCGCGCTGGTCAGAATCTCTGGCTCTCTAACGAAGTCAGTAGAACTTCGGCTTAAATACCGCTCTTCCTTCATTTGCATTTAACCGCGATTCTAAAAACGCACTCTGGCAGGAAAATTGTAAGCTGAAATTAGAAGCGGCAGGAAAGTAGCTTTAACTAAAAAGATAACTGTTAACAACTTAGGATAAATCTTACAACATTCTTACATTCAGAGAATCATCTCAAAGCCCGAGAGATTTATTTTAATTCGAATATGATTTTTATGTCATTTCATCGCTTTGACTTCTGTGTATTCTCTCAGAATCCGCAGAATATAAATCGGGTGGGGTTTAGATGCTGAAAAGTTTGCCTGCTGCTCTGGAAACCGTATCTTTCTTGAACTGCTCCCTTTAATTATCACCAAATTTTAATGTGTTTTCTATAAATTCACGCCGCCCAACCTGTATAGTGATTAACGTCGTTGACTGCCGTGCCGAAGGCCCGGTTTCGAATCCCGGAGAAGGCATGGATGTTTGTAAATGTATAGTGTCCGGGCGGCATGACGGTACTCTAAATATGCGACGAGTCGAAAGTCCTCTCGAGAGGTTGGATATAGGGAAAGAAGGATGAGAAGATCCGCCCCTTCGGACCCGTCTTCCGGTGTGTTATCCAACAAAATTAAGGCGGAACTGAGCTAAATCGTACTCTCACCAGAATGATGATAAATGTTGTTGCCAACGACAGGCGTAAAATTTCTCTCCTTGCCACGAGACTGTTCGTGGGCTTAGGCTGACTATAGGTCAGACAAGTGAGCATTAGCAGCAGCAATAACAACAACAAAAAATTCACAGCGGTTATGGTTAAGTAGTAAAACGCTACCATTAAAACCGAAAGTTTATCGTCCTTACATGCGATAATGAACCCTAACCACGCCTCAAGAATTATACAGGATATCCAGGAAAGCCTGCGCCAAAGCAATAGGCACATTAAGCTGGAGTGGATAAAGGCACGTGTAGGCCATCTCGGCAACGAGATGGCGGATCAACTCGCTGAAGAAGCGGCACTAGGGCCGATAGACATAAAAATTGAAATACCACGGCCGGTCTCATTACCAAAGAATTCACTGCGACTCAAAGCAATCGGCCTATGGCAGCAGGAATGGGACAGCAGCACCACTAGCAGACGTGTACATTACCATATCAGCTATCTCGACACAGCACGGAATGTCGCCAACACACAGCTGATAAGGTATATCACGGGTCATGCACCCTTTCCGGCATATTTTCACAGATTTGGACTTTGGCACACAGACCAGTGTACATGTGGTCACCTCGGCTCTCGGGAGCACTATCTAACAACATGTCCATTAACAGAGGGATAACACGTCCGTATACCGACTGACAACAGGCAGGCCTTTTGCAAGTTTCTAATCAAACAGCGACACTTAGTCCTGAAAATCGAACGCATAATGGACAAACTAGCAGAATTGAACACGGACTTATGCCAAAACTAGCACACCGCGCAGACAAACTTGCATCAAAACCTTAGAAACTACACACTGCCGCAGAGGTGCATGTAGATAATCTAGCATACGAAATACTCCAGCCTCGGCGTATGTTTATGTTTTTTATAATGAATATCTGTTGTCACAGCGATAATGTGGCAATGTAATTTTTACAACCATAATTTATTTATTAAGTCAAATTCCCCTTTTTAATGTATATAATACGCATTTAATGTCAAACTGAATGCATCTTATAAATATCAATGTCAATGTTTGTACCGTGAATGCACCCTCTTTTTGCATAAATGTATATTATGCTTAGTGTATGTCAATATAATGTTTTTTTTTTTTTTTTGCAGCACAACTATGCGACTGTGTCATAATGTTTTAAATAACCACTACTTGCTATCTCCCGTTAATTTGTACATTAAAAGCCTTGCATTTGTACGTGCTAAATATGATATATAATTGTCTTAGCATTCATACCTGTAAGTCTGATATGCGGTTTAAGCCGCATTGCATAGGTAATATCATATCTTAGTAGTCTATCATAATTAATCCTATTAATATTTGTCTGTATCTGTTTTATACTGTATATATTTATAATAATGAACTTCAGTTGTCACAGAGATGATGTGGCAATGTAATAGTAACAGCCTGTATCTGTTATTATACTGTATATGTTAATAATCATGAATTTCTGTGGTCACAGCTACAATGTAAACATTTAATGCCAAACTGCAAGCACCTTTTAAGTATTAATAACAATGTTTCTACTGTGGATGTCAATACTCCCTTTTTGCATAAATATATTGTGTTAACACAATATCTGAATGACACAATAGTCCTTCAGGGCAAATTGCCCTTTGGACTAATAATTTGCAAGCCGAAAACTTCAGCTTGTACTATTACACGTAAGCGAATATTAGTTTATCTTTTATATATAATTTCAATGCTAGGAATCTCCGCATTTTAACTTGAAGTACAGAACTTTACGAGCGCTAGGAAAGAGACAAATCGTAACTAAACGTTGCAGTGCGATTTTTCAAATACAATTAAATCAGCGATGGGCAAACTCCGTCCCGCCGGAAGATTCTATCCGTCCCGCGGATGGAATTTTAATTTGCCGGTGCGAGGCTAATTAAAAGAAATATTATATATTATATATCCATCGCCTTTTCTACTAAGTATAAAGTTTCACAAAATCATTATCGAAAGTACGTTTTGCAAATTTAATATATCACGCCCACAAAATCAGTGCTATGTTTGCTTCATCTTGAATATGTGAACAAGTGTTTCCAACTATAAATTGTCTATTTATATATTCCTTATATTCCTCAATATAAGAAATTTTCAAAAATTAAATTGCAATTTCATTCATCACATTAATATATTTAAATTGTAATACTTATATATTGCTTTTAAAATTTTAGAAAATTTATCTTGGCCAGCCAAATGTTTTTTTCGATTTTTGGCCCGCGACCGAAAACGTTTGCCCATCCCTGAACTAAATAAATCTTAACCACTCCTTCTTGCTTGTTCTTGGGAATGTAAACTGCTGATTGTTCACTACACAATGAATATATATTTAATAACTTTACAAGCGTACTACAATTGTGCACACCTCTAAGGTCCCAATCCCATTATGTTTCGGCTACGCGGGCCTTGACGTCGAAAGGGACAGTTCTGAGCAAAGCTATATATATAATAAAGCGTCGTCAGCTCAATGGACGAACCTGCGCTTTGTCACGATCGCAGCGCTCCTGGTGGTTGCGCTGTGGAAACACAATTAATTGAACTGCGCATGCTCCCCATTTACAGTTGTTTTTGAACGTAATGCCCATGCTGGTTTCAAGAGCTCCTGCATTGATTTGACTCACGTACATTTTTCTTTGCAGTTTCCATCAAACGGATCTTTTCAGACCCAATTTCATTATTATTTTCATTTTTTTCTGACATAATGACTTATCGCTACTACTGCAGATTTAAAGGCTGTAATAGAAAGATTGAATCAAAAAGTGATGGAATACATTTCTACAGATTTCCCAAGGAAGAACAAAGGTTAGTACTAAATTATTTTATGATTTCTTTCCACTTTTGTCATAAAAAATTATTTCGTTAAATGTAATTTATTTGTATCTCATCCTGAACTTTTGCTGAAAAATTTATAAAGTACCTCAAACTCGGAAACAAAAATTGATATTTAAAAATTCGGCTAAAGTGCAGAATCGCCCATTTATTTGTTTGGCGTTTATTTGCCGGTTCAGAAACAAAAAAAGTGAAGCTTAGACCTTTTCTTCCCGCAATATTGCACATCCAGAGTTATTTATATTAGAGTTCCTTTAGGTTTGGCACATTATAGCCACCTAACCCTGTTAAAAGTAATGGTGTTATTTTTGAAGCAACTTAAAAGTTGTTAATGTATTGCTTTTGTTTGTGATCTGGATAATCAAAAAGTGTTAAGAGAGAAATGTTTGAAACAAAACACATTACAGTACTTTTACATTAACTGCATGCTAGACTAAGCTACTGGCGTGAATTATAATAAAAAAAAAATAAAAAAAAAATGATCTTTGATTGTTAAGGTGAAATGATTGATAAAAGAACATGCTTTTAGTTTGTAAATCTATTTTTAGGAATAGTTTACCAATTATAAAGGTGTAGGCAAAATGCACTGTTTACAATAGTAAACAAAATATGGATGTCCAAATTACAGGTAAACGATTACGTAATTGGAGAATGGGTATCAATAGAATAATGAAGTTGTTTTATCCAAGTAAAGTGATAAAAAGTAAATGACTCTTACTGTGTGAACGTGATGATTCCCGTGGGCCATGAAATTTGCTGTTTTGGTCCCCTTAGATTGAAAAAAATATTGTCAAATTTATTTTTTCTATTCATTTTTGTTATTTGATATGAGAAAAAAAAATCGTATTAGTCCGTATGACATTTTCATGGAGAGGATTGGGGGCAAACCTATAATAAATTGTTCAATGAAGACACTAGTTTTGCTTTCATCTTTTCAGGAAATACAGGCTTCAATTTAAATGTAGGGGAGAGGGATAATTCACATTAATCAATATTTCATTATCTGTTATTTAAAAGTATGCTGGTGTTTCATAGATGCTTAAAAAAGTAAAATTGCTTCATGGAGAGGGGGCAGTATTAGGGTTATCTCCAGAACACTAAATTAATGCAATTTATATTATACATTAAACTAATGCAGTTTATATGTATAGTTATTTATTTTCCATCTTTTTTTTGTTTTAGATGCCAAGCTTGGGTCAAGACTTCGCAGAATGAAAAGCTTGTGGGTGTTCCTGCCTCTGACCTACACAAAAGAGCTTATCTATGTATGGTACATTTTGAAGACAGGTGCTTCTTTAATATCACTACTAAACATCGGTTAGTACACAATGCAGTACCATGTTCTACAAAACTCCAGGTGACAAAGGGTTTGGTTCCAGATAAAGTGCCTGAGTTAAGTCACATGACAGTGCCAAATTCTGTGACAAATGGTTCAGTTCGAGATAAAATGCCCGAGATAAATCATATCACAGTGCCAAGTTCTGAACATCATCAGTCAGATTTTCAACAGGAATTAATATCCAATGTTCAAGGACCCAATAATCTTTATCAAAATGTCTGCTCCACTGAACTTTCAACTTGTAACGCATCTTTAATGTCTCTCATTCCACAGCAGTCATTTTCAACACCAGTGAGCTGTAGCACACCGAAGTCACATTATTCTGGGAAAAAATACACACACCCAGAAAATCACAATTGTCAAAAAAAAAGTTTAAAAATATCGTGACATGGCAAGACGGCTGAAATTAAAATTTGTGTCATCTAAGAAGAAATTTTCTACAGCTCATTCTCTTGAAAAAAACCCTTTCCAGTCAAGGAGTTAGTAAAAAATTATCTTCTTTTATTCAACGCCAGGTAACATTGAATACCCAGAAAACAAAAAGAAGACGTTTTACGCATTCAGATAAAATCGATGCCTACCGCATCTACAGCAAAAGTCGGGCAGTTTATCGTGTTTTGAAAGAGTTCCTTGAACTTCCAGCTGAACGAACTCTTCAACGTTTTGTCTCATCAAAATTGTCATGTACAGGAATCAGTGCAGATATCATATCAGCACTAAAACAAGTTTTACAAAATAAGGAAAATCACGAAAGAATGTTTGCATTGATCTTTGATGAGATGTCATTGAAACCCTGTCTAGTGCATGATAAACAAAATGATCGCATAGTTGGATTTGAGGACTTAGGTGGTTTTCCCAGTGATTCAATTGCAAATCATGTACTAGTATTAATGCTGAGAAGTTTAACCAGCAAGAAGAAGAAACTTCCACTTGGATTTTACTTCTCCAACCATGCAATAAATGCAGAAAGACTGAGAGAAATACTCACAGAAGCTTTAACAAAATTATCGGATGCTAATGCCGTAGTTAAAGCTCTGGTTTGTGACCAGGGGGGAAATAATAGTAGGTTGTTTAGAATTTTAGGAGTGGATTCTCTTAAACCATTCTTTGATTTTAATGGACAGACTATTTATTGTTTGTTTGATCCACCACATCTTTTGAAAAATTTGAGGAGGAATCTTATGAAGTATGACCTGCAGACAAGTAAAGGATTCGTATCTTTCAAATACATTCGAGACTTCCATGAAGTAGATAAAACACTGCTTATCCGCTGTGCACCGAAAATGACTGATGCACACTTAAATACAATGGGATTAAACTCCATGAAAGTTGCTCTTGCTGCACAAGTGTTCAGCCACACAGTAGCAGCAGGAATGAACCTGTGTATTTTGTCTGGACTGATAGAAGCAAGTGCTGCTCCAACAGTAGAGTTCATTCTAAAGATTGACAATTTGTTTGACTCCATGAATGGAACTCGAAAGAATCCTTTAAGAGGAAAACAGCTCCATTGTGCAGTGAAAGAAGGTTCTGCACATATTAATTTTTGGAAAGAGATGATAGCATATGTTGAATCATGGGTTTTTTTGCAACCGCTTGCACAAAACCAAGATGGTCAAAGAAAGCATGCTTCAGGACCACGTAGCAGAATAGGCTGGTTGCAAACTCTCAGAGCAATACTAAAACTTTCTGAAGAAATGTTACATGAACGGGAATATTTTATGACAAAGAGGTGCAATCAGGATTGTCTTGAAAATTTTTTCAGTCGTATCCGAGGGAGTGGGGGCAATCGCACAAATCCATCTGCTTATGAATTTTCTTCACTTTTCAAGATTGCATGTGTAAATTCTTTCCGTAACACAAATAAGTTTTCAAATTGTGAGCCAGATGGGGATAAATTTATGTTTTTCATTTTGTCTGCAGTACCATCAACTACAATTGAGGAAAATGAAGTACAGAAGGAGGAGGTGAAAGAAGGACAAATTACAAGTAATGATGATTTTGATGACTCTCTTGTCATTGATTTTGATTCCCCTTGTCAGGATGCATGTTTTGAAAGACTTGATAATTTGTCACAAAATGTTGTTGCTTATCTGAGTGGATATTTATCCAGAAAGGTATTATATTCCTTGAATCTTAATGAGTGTGATATATGCAGTATTTCACTGACAGACAGAACAAAGCCAATGCTGCAGCATACTCTATTTTTATACCTTAAAGAATATAAAAATCAGGATATAACGGAAGGAGGATTGACACATCCGTCAGAAAGCATGACAAAATGCATTGCTGAACTTCTTCAGAAAGCAAATAATTTTTTCTCCCACCACTTGCCAATATGTAACATTTTGCAAAATCTGAAAAATGTGTTATCACAGTTACCAGTGTTTCAGTTTTTGTGCTGTGAACTTCATTCAAATGATGTTAAAAAGAAGATTGTATCTTTTGCCTCTGCTTTTTTTTTTTTAAAAATTCATCTTCGGGAAAAAAATAGAAAAATTAGTAAATATAACACAGATCTGAAAAAACTACAAAAGGGGAAACATTAATAGAAATGTAATTAACTAAATTAAAAGCAAAGGGTGTATGTGCTAATTGTGTGAATTGCTGAATGTTTTTTTTTTTTTTTTTTCATAAAGGGAATTTTGCTATCATATATTCATTATAGTGATGTGTTTTATATAAAAAAATCTTGCAGTTAGTGTACTACAATAATGTGTGAAATATATATTCTTTCTGTTGTAAACATAGTGTGCATATTTCTTATAGATATTTCTTTTCATCTAACCTACTGCTTAAACCATTATCCTATTTTATTATTCATATTGCATATTACTATTGTAAAGCTGTCATTTTTTTAATACTCTATGTAGTGTCGCTTCAGTTCCGTCAAGTTTCTAATTAAGTTTATTTAAAGCGGAATGGCAACACCTTTCTAGTCTCCGCAAAGAACGAAGTAAACACAAAGTTCGGTTTTCTGTCACGCGATTCAACGTGCATGTAAAATGTAAATACATTTATAAATAAGTATTTCTAACTTCATAAGGAATAAAATATTGGTTCTATTGGAATCAGAGAAGTGTTATTTTCCTATATTTCCGAGACACTTCACTGGTGACCCGGACGTGATTGAATTCTACAAGGGCTGACGAAGAGGAAACCGAAATTAAAGCAACAACTGCGTCTTTCGCCAAGGTAAGCGTTAAAGTTCCTCCTTTTTGGAAGCCAGATCCTAAAATATGGTTTATTCAACTAGAAGCACAATTTAGAAATGCAAATATAAATGCAGATCGGACAAAATATGATTATGTTATAAGTTCCATTCAACCCGATATTTTGTCACAGGTATCTGATATTTTGCTAAGTCCACCACAAGATAATAAATATCAGGCAATTAAAAATAGACTAATTTCATTATATGCTGATTCAGAGACTCAAAAAACCAAAAATTACTGAGTGAATTAGAACTGGGTGACAAAAAGGCCATCTCAATCGCTGTGTGAGATGCTTAATTTAGCGGGCCATAAAGTAACAGATACTTTCCTAAAAACATTGTGGCTACAACGTTTACCCGTTAATATGCGTAGCATTATATCTGTTAGTGATGAAGATTTGTCAAAAGTGGCTACAATGGCCGATAAGATTTGGGAATTAAACCCTGTTACTCCCCAAAGAGCTGCTGCTTCATCCATAACGGTAAAAACGGAAGTGATTGAAAGTTTACAAAAACAGGTTAGTGAACTTAGCTTACAAGTTTCAGCTTTATCCAAGCAACGCCACAGTCGTCCCTATTGTCGTAACAGATCCAAATCAAAGAGATAGGAATTACAGTGGTCACAGATCTAGTGATATTTGTTACTATCATAAAAAATTCGGTGATAAGTCATTTAAGTGTAAACAACCCTGCAACTACTCATCAAAATCACAGACAATTAGTCCGGAAAAACAGCTCCCCGTCTCTCATTGACGACGGCTAGACAAGGGGTGCAGCTGAGTCGTCTTTTCATCAGGGACAAGGAATCGGCTACCGAATTTTTAATAGATACCGGGGCAGAAATTTCTGTCATTCGACCCTTACCTGCAGATAAAAAAAAAACATCTCAGAATTAGAACTCTTTGCTGCAAATGGTACGAAAATCAAAACATATGGCCAAAAATTACTCAAGCTGGATCTTGGACTCAGACAATCGTTCACATGGCCTTTTGTAATTGCGGAAGTAAACAAACCGATAATAAGCATGTATTTTCTTGCAAATTTTAACCTATTGGTAGATTCCAAAAATCGCAAGTTGACTGATGGTACTACATTGTTAACAACCAATGGAACTCCTTGTTTTCAAAATAAAAATAGTAATATTCCAATTTTCAATGCCATGTATCGTTAACGATTTTCTGGATTTTTTAAAACTGAATGTAGTTAATAATAAAGTTAAAAATCACAACATCGAACATTATAACGAAACCAGAAGTCCACCAGTTTTCGCTAAAGCTAGGAGACTATCAGCTGAGAAACTCAAACGGCTAAAAAGGAGTGTGAATTTATGCTCCAAATGGGTTTATGCAGGGCCATTCCAAAAGTTAACTAGTCGAGCCGCTACATCTCGCTATGAAGAAATCAGGTGATTGAAGACCTTATGGAGACTATCGAGCGTTAAACAACGTCACGATTCCTGATAGATACCATCTCCCATTTTTAACAGATTGCAGTTCCATTTTAGCAGGAAAAAGAGCATATTACTATTGTAAAGCTGTCATTTTTTTAATACTCTATGTAGTGTCGCTTCAGTTCCGTCAAGTTTCTAATTAAGTTTATTTAAAGCGGAATGGCAACACCTTTCTAGTCTCCGCAAGGAACGAAGTAAGCAAAGTTCGGTTTTCTGTCAAGCGATTCAACGTGCATGTAAAATGTAAATAAATTTATAAATAAATCTATAACTTCGTAAGGAATAAAATATTGGTTCTATTGGAGTCAGAAAAGTTATTTTCCTATATTTGCACACGAGATACTTCACTCTATATTACAGACAACGTAATTTAATGAAATGATAAAAAAATAGAGAACTTTTCTTAACACTAAATTTTTCTATCATATGTTTGACTGCATGATTCCATTAAAATCTCATTTCATACTAAAAAAAAAAATTCTTATATTTGAATTCAGTTAATTTTTTTAAAATTGTGTTCCCATATATTTATAGAAGTTTTGGGTTTTAGTTCCATGACTTGAAATTTAAGTTAATTTTATATTTTTTTGTTCTTTTAATCAAAAATATGGCTTTGAAGTTTTTTATACATGTTTACTCTATGAAGAAAAAAAACTCTTCAGTATATGCCAGCATGCTTTTCTAAAATTTAATATGTGAAGAACCTTCTTTAAGTTGAGTCAAAGAAATTGTCTATCTTGAGGATAACTCTACTGTTGAAACAGCACTTAACATTGTATGCATGATCATCGTGTGTATCTTCTATGAGTCCAGATAAGACACACGTTCATGTCAAATAATAATGATGCTCTTTTATCAATGTTTTTCTGCTTTTTCCTGCAAGTTCTCTACATAGAAAAAGGTACCCATTAGATGCAGAAAAATATGTGATTTAATAGAATCACGAAAGTCATTTTTGGCATCTTGGCATTTGTAATACTCTAAATTCCATCCCTCACCTTGAAATTGTTCTATAACATTTTCTATGAAAAGTAAAGGACAAGCTGTTTAAAAATTTTAACTTGAGCTTTGGTAGATAAGGTGACAGGACATCCCAATGATAATTTTCTTTAAGCCACACTTTCATTGCATTCCCTTAACCATACTCGTCTATTTATTAGATACATTACATTACAGCAAAATCCATTTTGAATGTTATTTTTTGAAATTGTTACCTGAAAATACCTATTAATAAGTAATGTTGCTGAAACCTGTGGAACTATTTGTATGGTGATTTCACAGCCTTTAAACCACTATGTGCAAAAGTTTAAAATTGAACCCCTATATAACTTTGAGCTGAATAGGTTTTTCAAAAGTTATCTTTCAACACTCCATCATGAACAAAACATTTTTACAGCATTCTGGAACCAAGAAATTGCTGAATAATGTAGTATTCATGAAGGAATGTAATGCTTCATAATTATTTTATTCTAATTCCTCATTTGTTTTATAAAAAAAAAACCTTAAAGTTCATATGCCTTTAATTTTGCATGATGATATAAAGAGTTAAGTAGGTTGGTTTGCAAGCAAGGTTATTATCATTTAGCAATGAAACCAAAATAATATTTATTTGAAATAAAATCTACAGTTTTTCTGAATATCTGTATACATTAATATTTTATATAAAAAAAAGATTGCAGTTTGTTGTAAAAGAATTTTCAGTGCATTTTGTTAGTTTTATTTGATTATTACTAGTAATAATAAAATTTTTAGTATTTTCTTTTCATTGCCTGTTTCTTGAAATTATTTAATAAAATTATTCATACAGGGTGATCAAAAAGTCAGTATAAATTTGAAAACTTAATAAATCACGGAATAATGTAGATAGAGAGGTAAAAATTGACACACATACTTAGAATGACATGGGGTTTTATTAGAACCAAAAACAAAAGTTCAAAAAATGTCCGACAGATTACTGTTATCGGGACTTTTTTCTTCGAGGAAATGCGTGATTCTGGTTTTGTAACTGCTACCGTTACGAGTGAGAGGTACGCCGATATGTTACAGAATCGCATCGTCGCCAGCCTGGCTGATAAAACACCTGCTGGAACGTACGTTTTTATGCAGGATGGCGCTCCACCCCATATTGCTAGACGCGTGAAAGATCTCTTGCGCGCGTCGTTTGGTGATGATCGTGTGCTCAGCCGCCACTTTCTTCATGCTTGGCCTCCCAGGTCCCCAGACCTCAGTCCGTGCGATTATTGGCTTTGGGGTTACCTGAAGTCGCAAGTGTATCGTGATCGACCGACATCTCTAGGGATGCTGAAAGACAACATCCGACGCCAATGCCTCAACATAACTCCGGACATGCTTTACAGTGACTTACACAACATTATTCCTCGACTACAGCTATTGTTGAGGAATGATGTTGAACATATTGAGCATTTCCTGTAAAGAACATCATCTTTGCTTTGTCTTAATTTATGCTAATTATTGCTTTTCTCATCAGATTATTGCTTTTCTAATTATTGCTTTTCTAACAAAACCCCATGTCATTCTAAGTATGTGTGTCAATTTTTACCTCTCTATCTACATTATTCCGTGATTTATTAAGTTTTCAAATTTATACTGACTTTTTGATCACCCGGTATATAAAAACATTGGTTTTTTTAATTTTGTGTTGTAAAATAAATTATATATATATATATGTAGCAGAAATGTAGTTACATCATTATTTTAAAAACGTCATATTATGCAGAGTAAGAATATTTGAATATTTAGAATTTTTTTTATTCTTATTTTACCTTCTTTTTAAATTATATTGTTTTTAGAAATTTTTTATATTACTGGATTCTTTTTAACCAAAACGGCATAAGTTGCAATTTAAATGTTTTAGTACAAAAAAAAAAAAAAAAAAAAAAAAAAACTAAATTTTTTAAAGAATACATTAAATGAAAATTTAATGAGCAAATCCCTCTTTTTCTTCATATATAAAAGAATGTTAATGTAACAATTCCAGAAGATTTCTTATAACAGCAGTTAAAATATTAGTTTTCAGTTGCTGAAACGATCTAAGTTGAAATTGCAGTTCTGTTTACAAGTGAGGGGGGAGGAAAAGACATGGGGAGGGTTTCAACTCTCAGCGCAACCGCTGCACTGAATTAGCGCTTCAGTCAACCTATCTGGCGGCAGGAAACAGCTTTGGTATAGATCAGGCCGTGACTTTTTTGAGCTACTGCAAAATGTTCTGAAGTACACTTTTTTCTGTTACACACACACACAATGTTTTGGCAACATTCATCTTGAGAATTCAACACCTGTTCATTAGCCCTTAGTAATTGAAAGAAATGCGTTTAGAAAGGAGTGGGTGAATTTAGAAACAAAATGGTTGGTATCAATGAACTGTGGTTACGTTAGTTTCAATTGTTGGGTTTAAATGAACCCTTCAATTACTAAAAAAGTCCTTTTGCATAATCGAAAGGATTTCATCTGAGCATACATTTTTCTACTTAAAAATGAGTTTTGCAGTTTTTTAAAATATTACTTGTATTTTATTTTCGAAAATTTTCATAAATAATGTAATTAATTATTTCCAATTTTAATAACTCGCAAAAAAAACACAGAATTTTCGGGAATTTTTTATTATGTTTATTCAAGCTTATACGAATATACAGCATCTTTTATATTCCTTATACATTTTCAACTGTATGCTTCAACCTGCATGTACCTAAATACAATCACATAAATTTTGTAAAATTTCATTCTAATTCTTCATTATAAAAAAACACTCTGATGAAGTTGCTGATCTGTATAGGATCAAATTTCTCTTCCTTAGTAACTCCTTACCCAGAGACGTCTCAATGAAGGCCAAATCATGCACAAAATTTACACCTGAAAAAATATGATGAAATATTTTTAGTACCATATTCTCGACAATAGAGTACATCACATACACCCTCCGCCCCTCCCCCTGGAAAAGTCATAAAATCAAATCGATTAGGTGGATGGGGGGCTGCGCCTCTTTCTGTACCCCCTCCGCCCCCCCAAATTGCAAGAAGTACAAATACAAATTTCTAACAGAAAAATGCATTTTCAAACAGCTGAAATTTTTCAGAAATTAATAATGCAGAAAGCAAATGTAGCATATGGCACTAAATATATTGCCCCCCGGTGCAATCTCTGCATATCCTAAATTCTGCTGGCTGATGTCTTCGTAAGTTCTGAACATTTTTTCGCCTCTAAATTCTGCTGCTCAGTGCTCTCTGCTAAATTATAAAATTTTGCTATGCAGTATTCTCTAATTCTAAAATTTTTGACTGCCACTGGTTGCACAGGCCCTGATCAAAGCAAAGAGGCAAGATGTTACCTGCTGTTGATAAACTGCATTATAAATACCACAGATCTAAATAAATGTCAGTTTTATTTTCCTAATATTCTATGAAAAATCTAATTGCAGTCAGAATTTAACGCACACAACATACAATAAATTCATGGGAACATTCAGTTCGAACAAGCAACACTGCATAAAAATACAGTATTTAGAAATAAATGATCCTCCAAATTTACAATTTAGGGAATGCTGTTATAACTTCTTAGCCTGCACTATCACAGAAGACATATTGCAAATTATTCTGCCAGATGGTAATGGATTTGCCTTTCCTTGATCTTCCTTTTCGATAATTAAAGGTGAATGAGGACACATAAATCCATCGTTACGGTTCTCCTGAAGAGGCTCAGACTCCAAGCTAAAATATATACATACACAATATATAACATATATATAATTAATATATATAAATATTACAAATTAGGTTTAGGCAACAAATTAGGCTTAAATTTGGTTTATTGATAACAGCAAAGCACTCGACCTGCCGAAGAGGAGGGATGCTTTCAGGCAGGACTTTCTAAGAGAAATGACTCATATACACGTTACACAAGAGGAAAACCATGAAAACGCCCATTCGCAATTAGGTTTAGGAAAATTTAGGCAACAGATAGCAAATAAATTAACAATGAAAATACACTGGATTATCGCTATATTACTACAAGAAGATGAGTCATCTTCACAACTGTTGTTTCCATGCTTGCAGTGTCATTTGCTCAAGCAATATTAGTCAGTACTTTGTGTGCCGGAGGTTTCACATGAAGAGCCTCTACACCTGAGTATAAAATGTTCGTGTTCCAGTAAACACTGAATCATTTTTCATCATTGATTTTGATTCGGAGCGGGGACACGGTGGATGTAGGTTCGCCGTTGGAGATTGTGCCTGCCACTCAGATCCGGTTCAGCAAGTACGTCCGTCTCGCGTGGTTTGCCTGTGCGACCACGTGCAATTGGAAATCTGACTGCATCAGCATTTTTTAATGCTTTTTTGTGGTTTGTATGATTTGTGAAATGCTGATACGCTTTCACTACTTAATTATTTTGGATTATTGAATATATTTACGAAATTAATTACCGCATGTTTTGCAAAATTGCCTGATTGCTGGTAGGTGATTTTATCTGCCGTTTTACGATTAATTACGCACAACTGCGCGTTTTAGACATTTAATTAGATAAATTAAAATAGTAATTTTGC